TCCCCCGATACTTCGATGAGGTACAAGGTGGAAGAGAAGAAGAAGAAGAAGAATTTCTCGGCAGCATCTTTCCCTTGTGTCAGCCCAAACCACTTCTGTGCTCCTACAACCCTATCTCCAAATATACAACTGCATACAAACAAGCTAGCAAGGAAACAAAAACGAATTCACGATACAAATTGGCGTGTGCGGTGAAAACTGAAAGCTGCAATTTATCAAATTTGGGACAATTATGAAGCCATGGCTGAATATTTCAAACATCAATGACCGAATCGATAAGAAACTGCTCAATTGGGTTGAGCTTCTCGTCAGAAAACAAATAACAATATAATGCAGGAGATCTTCTTGTCAGAATTCAAAGAAGAAAACGGACATGTTAATCCTTGTTTGGAAGATGCTTTCTCGGTTGGGGGGGGGGGGGTGTGGTGGAGGGGAGGGGGACGACTAGTTGCAACCAATAGCTGGCGCCTTGTGTGTACGGTCTGTATTCGCTGTTTGTAGACGGTAACTGTCTTCGTTCACTCTGTCAGTCATTTGTTTCTACTCCCTCCTCTTACGTCTTATTGTGCAACTCCTTCTTTTCCTCAACTGCCTCCAAATGCCCCTTTATCTTCTTCTCCTTCTTATTCGTTCGGTCTCTCTCTCTCTCTCTCTCTCTCTCTCTCTCTCTCTCTCTCTCTCTCTCTCTCTCTCTCTCTCGAAAGCGTCCAACAAGCAGGAACTCAGTAGAAAAAATCTCTAGAGATCTCCTTTAAACTTGTATTCCATGAACGGAACCGCTTGGCTACGGAGACACACACCATTTTCACCCACTCTTTCCTGCCCCTATCTGAAAGTTGAGCTCCCACGACGCAACTGTTCCTTCTACCTTAATTTTTTGCAACGCAACTAGCTTCAGGCAGTCATTTTAGGCTGTTTTCAAGTCTGCTGGATCCAATTACATAATTCTGGTTAGGGACTCGGGTCACAAAGTAATTTTTAAATTGTAATTGTCATTTTTTTTAATGCATTAACTAACACGGAGAACTATGAACAAGGAAATCTGAGATGTCTTTTTCTCAAAACACGACAATAATGGTTGGGTTGGGGGAACTGACTTCGACGTTATAGACAATATTGCAGTGGAACTTTCAAGAAAATTGCAGGGGTGAGGGGGAGGGCAATCCAAACAAGATGCTGACTTGAGTCCGTTTTTTTTAATACCTACATCGAATAGTGTTGCCACTTTGGATGTTTTGCATCCAGATTTAAATGTTTTCCCTTGCATTTAGATTGCGTTTTTGACGTTTAGATGGTAGATGTTCTTATAGAAGTTTTTCATTTGGAGTGAATTTATCAAATCTAACCTAAGAAACAAGATGAAATTTGGCCTCTTAAATGCTGCCTTGACAATAAAATTCGGCCTTATAAGAGTAGGATAAGGCTGTACCATTTATCAGCTCCCTGACTGGGTATAAAAGAAATTAGAACAGCTAAAGCAAACCAGTCATTTTGGATCTGAAGCTTCAACTTCATCCTCCAAGCTAAGTTTATCCTGTGGATCTTGTGAGGCAGACTTCAGTAAAGATGAGGACATGATTCTTTGGTGTAAGTCATATCAATTGCTATGTTATTTGTGACTCTTTCCATTTGGATGTTTTTTCTAGATGTTTTCCACGCAAATTTAGATGTTTTAGATATTTTTTGACTCTGTTTTGGATGTTTTTTGTCAAAGAAAACTGGCAACACCGACTTCGACTTCAAAGACAATAATGCAGTGGCATTTGCAGGAAAATAGTGGGGTGAGAAAACGGAAGAGGGGGGGGGGGAGAAGATATCCCAACGAGAAGTGACGGTAAAAGACAAACGGACAATAAGTACAAGCAATATTGACAACGTATCTCTGTATGACAGCTGTGCGCTCTACCTCATGTAGCCAGTCTCGCTCCTCCTCCTCGTCGTTTTCTTACTTCGGGAAACTGCTAAAACCCGAATAAATATCGCTAGAAGGGAGGGTTGTAAAGTCAGATGATCGCTAATGCCAGCTGGCAAGATAATTAACATCCAATAAAAATGCTACAGGTTATCCCGACTTCCAGTCAATATTTTCAATTTTGCTAGGAAATCTGCCCGCCAGCAATTAACATAACTTAACCATTTCTTCAGAGGATGTTTCTGCCTGCAGCCTGTATTCTCCGCCTGTCTGTTGGACCACTATTATATAACGTACTAGCGTTCTTGTCTGAACCAGAACAGTGTCCACCCCCTCCTTATTCCATCTCCACCCCTCCCCCCCTTTTTTCTAAACTCTTGCTCGCACTTGTCCCTCTTATCTATACGTACTCTGTGTGTGGATTCTCTCTTTCTCTCTTTCAGTTCAGTTTATTTTAATATCATTCTTTCTCCGCCTTTTTCTCTCTTGTCCTTTTGTCGCTGTGTTTGTCTCTCTCTCTCTCTCTCTCTCTCTCTCTCTCTCTCTCTCTCTCTCTCTCTCTTTCTCTGTCTGTCTGTGTGTGTGTGTTTGAATGTATGTATGTATGTATGTATGTATGTATGTATGTATGTATGTATGTATGTATGTATGTATGTATGCATGTATGCATGTATGCATGTATGTATGTATGTATGTATGTATGTATGTATGTATGTATGTATGTATGTATGTATGTATGTATGTATGTATGTATGTATGTATGTATGTATGTATGTATGTGTGTATGTGTGTATGTATGTATGTATGTATGTATGTATGTATGTATGTATGTATGTATGTATGTATGTATGTATGTATGTATGTATGTATGTATGTATGTATGTATGTATGTATGTATGTATGTATGTATGTATGTATGTATGTATGTATGTATGTATGTATGTATGTATGGTATGTGTGTATGTATGTAGTGTGTGTGTGTGTGTGTATGTGTGTATGTGTGTATGTATGTATGTATGTATGTATGTATGTATGTATGTATGTGTGTATGTATGTATGTGTGTATGTGTGTATGTATGTATGTATGTATGTATGTATGTATGTATGTATGTATGTATGTGTGTATGTATGTATGTGTGTATGTGTGTATGTATGTATGTATGTATGTATGTATGTATGTATGTATGTATGTATGTGTGTATGTTTGTATGTATGTATGTATGTATGTATGTATGTATGTATGTATGTATGTATGTATGTATGTATGTATGTATGTATGTATGTATGTATGTATGTGTGTGTGTGTGTCCTTTCTTTCTGTTATCACATGGTATAAGTTCGGGTTTAGACGACGGATCAACATCACGGCACAAAGGAAGGGCTAACCCATCAGTGTTCCGTTGTACTGCTGACTCCAGCCTTAGTCCGCCGAAGAATCTCAGCGCAAACTCCGTAGCACCGGCGAGGTTCCTGGAATACTTTGGGTAGATTTTCAACTCCAAATTTTGCCCGGACAGCGCTGTTAGGCTACTTTTTTTTTTTTATTTCAAACTACTAAGGGATTTTTTTTATGTGCGCAACAATTCACACAGGCGTCTGATCCTACTACCTAGAGACCAGGGGGAAATTACTAGAAGTCCAGGTGAAAAAATCCCAGCCTTCTCCGGGGCCTGAACCCGGGACCTCCAGGCCTCGATGTGGACACCATGCCTGGAGACCACGCAGCCCCCTCATAGCATATGGTATGTTGGCCTAATATATTAACAATGACGTGTATTATCAAATTTATATTGAATGTATACGTTATTATATAATGTAAATAGTTACACGAGTTTAGCTCATTGTCTTTAACCAACAGTCTAAATACGAGTTTATAAAACTCAACTTGCCACAAGTCACTGTCATTATTAAAAAAGGTAAAGACGGGAGATGTGAACTAGCGCCATTGCACACGGTTATAAACCATAAATACTCTGCCACCAGTACGGACAGTTGCACGAAACTCCGTAGCTACAGCGACGTTCTCCCATTTACCCCAAAGTGTTAACTCTGATAGCCATTACCCAGAGGTTTGGTGAACCACGATAAACCGCTCGGTTTCGAACACCGACCGTAAGCTGCAGCCAGTCGCAGCTGGATTTGAAAGCGATAACGCGGCCCTTGCTGTCATTATAGATATGATTTAGTTGTTATGTATACATATGTGGGTGCCACGCGCTTTTATTAGTAGATTAGTACAAAATTGCAGATGAAAGTTAGCTAAGACAATTAGCTAAACTCGTGTGTCCCTTAAATTATACGATAACTTATACACACACTATAAATTTGATAAAACACTTTATATGTCCAAAATTCCAATTATTACAATAAATGTTTATTTATAAATAAAGTTATATCTTTGTAGTAAATTGATTATTTCTTACAAAAATAGTGTTCACATTTTAGGATAACACTTATAATGTCTTAACTTAACTGAAAAAAAAAAAATTTACGCAACGCGTGATTGCAAGGACTGGCAAAGTAAATTATTTATTATTTTATTTTATAATTTAAAAAAAAAAGTTAGGCCGGATAATTTGGAGATTGGGTAATCGCGAGCCGAAAAAATTGAGGTTCTACTGTATAGGTCTAGCCCAATGTGCCAAATCTAATTAAAGGCGCGAAAAAGGGTTCTTTATACAGGGACAATCTAATCCAGTAGCTCTAAACATTCCTAATGTCCTGACCCTTCAATAAAGTTATACCATGTTGTGGCGACCCCCAGACAATTATTTTCCTTCATAACTTCAATAAATATGTGTTTCTCCAATGGAGAAAGGATCGTTCAACACCAAAAAAGGGGCCGTAACCGGCAGGTTGAGAACCGCTGAGCAAGACATGACTTCACAGACTGTCTACTCCAGCATCTGCTTCTACAGACGTTGGAACGTGGGGTCTCAGGCCCCTTCAGCCCTTACCAGAAACAAAATGCAAAGGGAATTAGGCTGCCTCCTCTCCTAACCATGCATAGATTTTCTCTTTAGAATGTTTTCTTTGCGTCGACCCCTCTATCTGCTTTAAAATTTTAAATACCTCATGAAGAACTCACCTATGGCTGCCTTGCTCCAGATCTCCACGACATGGCTGATGTCACTAGAGTTGTTGTCTCGTCTCTCCAAAGGGCTGCGTTTACCCACGGGCAGTGGGTGAGGGTCTCTCTCCATGGGACGGACTCCTATGTCCCACAAAGCCGGAGCAACGTGGTGCCGCAACAGCTTGTGCTGCTCGGAGTCGAACTCCTCGCCCCATGGGTTCCAGTCGGGGTCATCTGCAATCTCTGTAGATGACATAACGTTTCAAATCAGCGTCTTTTAGAAAGATTCTTGATACAACACACAAGATTCTTGATACAACATACACGATTCTTGATACAACATACAAGATTCTTGATACAACATACAAGATTCTTGATACAAAATGCAAGATTCTTGATACAACATGCAAGATTCTTGATACAACATACACGATTCTTGATACAACATACACGATTCTTGATGCAACACACAAGATTCTTGATACAACATACAAGATTCTTGATGCAACACACAAGATTCTTGATACAACATACAAGATTCTTGATACAACACACAGATACAACATCATAAATGCCAGTTTGGCGCATCCTGACTCAATACACTGGCAGTTCTGAACTTCTTTTAACAAAAGTGAAAAGACTGAAAATGCAATGGTACTTACACGCAAACATATCTACCGACGTCTCCAAAAACGACAGAAGGAGAGAGGAAAAAACACCAGGACGCTACATTTAAAATCTAGTTTATAATTTATTTTTTTTTTTTTTCAATTTTCTAGCCCAGATACAACATCATAAATGCCAGTTTGGCGCATCCTCACACTGGCAGTTCTGAACTTCTTTTTAAAAGACAAGCCATTGCAAACATATCTGACATATGCCCCTACCTGAATTCCTCTCATCCCAGCCCGTTGCACTTCAGCCTCACTGGTGAATTTATGTGTGCGTGGATCTCACTGTATGTGCTGTAAGCCTACTGATTCCCATGCTTTTCTCCTTTACACGTCCTCTCATCCCTCTTCCTGCAAGGACACCATTCCATTCTCCCAGCTTCTACGCATCCGTAGATTATGTCAGGAGAAAGACGACTTTCACAAGGCCCTAGAAATGTCCATCGTGCTGAGGCTATCAGTTCCAAGCCTAAATGGCAGCACAACAGACCCATTCTCACACTTACCTACCACCCTCACAACATCTGTGCTAAAAATATTCTCCTCAAGCATCTCTCCATTCTTAGGGCTGACCCTACTAGCATCAAGATTTTCTCTGAACCTCCCCTGGTGGCCTACCGGCACGACCATAATCTCAAGGACATTTTAGTTAAGAGTCGGTTACGTCCTGCCTCTAAGTCCCACTTGGGACTGTCTCTTGCCACAGACCTGTATGCAGGACCTGTCCTTATGTGGCTCAGGTTATCAGGGTACCAGCCTGGAATTCCCGAATTGCAACCTTCCACATACATGAAGCATTTTATTGCACGAGCCGTAACGTCATTCACGCCATAAACTGCATGAGATGTGGCGTTAAATACATCGGTGAAACGGGTTTACGACTGACTGACAGGTGCAGATCTTTTGGATGTGCAGAACAGTGCCTTGAAACCAGTACCATTTCACTTCAATGCCCAGGACCACCAAAGTGTCCTCGACAGCCATTAAATCCAGCCATTTCAGCGACAGAGTTCGAAAGACCTTTGAAAATCGCTTTATATACACTTTTGGAACTCTGGCGCCTAGTGGACTAAACACAGCTTTATCTAGAATCCTAGGGGACTGAACTGCCTACACAGCTTTATCTTATTCTCAAGTTCCGACCCCTTGCTTTCCCCGGGTTATTTATTTTCTCCTTCCGGCCATCTTTTGGCTGGCTAGACATCGACCTGGCTGCTTCGAGATTCGAAGATAAGTGATACTGTTGTTTGTGTAGTATTGTCTAATTTGTGTATGTGCAGATGAAGGCTCTGCAGACGCAACGTAAATTTTTTGTTCGTGTTTGTTATATTGTGAAGTTTGGTGATATACTTTTCGTTTTGGTTTATATCTTTCCATATTTTTCCTAGGTCTTCCGCTCGCTCTATACCCGTTGCAACGTTTCAGTGTGGCTTGCTGTGGTAGATAATACCAGGGTATTCTTGTTAGGTGTCCAAACCACTTCATTTGTTGGTCTTTGATGACCTGTAAGACCGGCTGTATTCCTAGCGTTCATCTGATTTCCTGATTTCGTATTCTCTTTTTCCTTGAAATTCCAGCAGCTCTTTTAAGGCATATCATCTCTGTTGTCACAATTTTACGTTCATTGGAGGAAGTAAGTGTCAACTTTTGGTACTGATAGCATAGTGTAGGCCAAAAATTAGTTATGATAAGTGGTTCTGTAGGCATTCCGTACTTTCGGCTATGAGTAAATAAATATTCAATTACTATTCTAAGTTTTGCCAGGGCTGCGACCTATACGGCTTACCTAATACAATTTCCAATTGTAAAAGGATTTTAAGCTTTTGCAACTTGATCCTCCATGTCTAGCCTCTGTCAATGATCATTATTCATCAATACACATCGTGTAATTTTTAGATTAACAGCGATGTTCTCCCCCTTACTATCTCTCTCTCTAGCTCCATCCACCCACCGACCCATTCTTCGGTCCGTTCGTCTGTCTGCCATGCCCTCTTCCTTCTGCTTTTTATCCTGTCTGTCCACTATTCTCAAACCTTCCCCCCCCCCCCCCCCCCCCACCTCATTTCATGTTTAGCTTGCTATTATTGTAGTTCTTACACCTCCCCCCCCCCCCTCCTTTCTTCTTCGCTTTCTTCTTCATAAACTCCTTCAAAACCTTTCTTCTTCCGTCTCTCTCCTTCATATTCATTTCTTCCTTCCATAGTCTTTGTCTTGTGCCTTCCTCACCCTCCTCTTCACTTGATGTAAGATTAAGGCAGTCTTCGAATGCAACAATGTTCGAGAATCAGATGACTTCACATTGTGTGCCAACTGGATTTTATACGATTGTGTAAAGGCGCAAGTTGTGTGAGTTTATGCGCCTATGTCTATGTGAGTGAGTGTGTGTGCGCGCACGTATGTTTGGAAGGGAGAGGTCAGATGAAGATTCAGATCCTCCTTATGCCACACATCTTCCTGTGCCCAACAAGGAAACACACAAAATCGTGTGCCCGCGAAACTGATACTACAATAATTCGACCCAATTACAGGGACATTAACCGGATCAATGAGTATAAAGACACGCTTGTTAAACTGATCCAGTGTCAACTCTTTTTTTCCATGTGCTTCTCCTCCTTTCCTCATTCCAGGCTTGTCTGCCCCCCCCCTCTCTCTCTCTCTGGGGTTTGTCTTCTCTCATCTCTCTCTCTCTCTCTCTCTCTCTCTCCTCTCTCTCTCTCTCTCTCTCTCTCTCTCTCTCTCTCTGCTGTTTGAACAATCCATTTATCATCTGCTCTTACCATCCGTGCCACTGTAAAACTAGATCATTTGCATCTGGATACATAAATATTGGCCACTGCATTACCAGAGCTCTTGAGTGGAGCAAGAATAGTAACACTAGACTCTATTAGTCACGTCTATCGAGAACTGGTCTCGGGCTTGGACAAACACTTCAACCTCAATGGTTGCCTTAAAAAACTGAGCCTACAGTCGGTGAACAAAGAAGAAGAAGAAGAAGAAGAAGAAGAAGAAGAAGAAGAAGAAGAAGAAGAAGAAGAAGAAGAAGAAGAAGAAGAAAGAAGAAGAAGAAGAAGAAAAAGGAAGAAGAAGAAGAAGAAGAAGAAGAAGAAGAAGAAGAAGAAGAAGAAGAAGAAGAAGAAGAAGAAGAAGAAGAAGAAGAAGAAGAAGAAGAAGAAGAAGAAGAAGAAGAAGAAGAAGAAGAAGAAGAAGAAGAAGAAGAAGAAGAAGAAGAAGAAGAAGAAGAAGAAGAAGAAGAAGAAGAAGAAGAAGAAGAAGAAGAAGAAGAAGAAGAAGAAGAAGAAAGAAGAAGAAGAAGAAGAAGAAGAAGAAGAAGAAGAAGAAGAAGAAAGAAGAAGAAGAAGAAGAAGAAGAAGAAGAAGAAGAAGAAGAAGAAGAAGAAGAAGAAGAAGAAGAAGAAGAAGAAGAGAAAGAAGAAGAAGAAGAAGAAGAAGAAGAAGAAGAAGAAGAAGAAGAAGAAGAAGAAGAAGAAGAAGAAGAAGAAGAAGAAGAAGAAGAAGAAGAAGAAGAAGAAGAAGAAGAAGAAGAAGAAGAAGAAGAAGAAGAAGAAGAAGAAGAAAAAGAAGAAGAAGAAGAAGAAGAGGTTGAGAGCAGGAAGGAAAAGAGGTAGGAGAAGCAGAATGGTACTGGAACACATTATCTCTGGGCCAGGAAGCAAACATACTGGCCACTGCACAGTGATAGTTATTATTTCATAAGTTACACAAATCGTCAACACATAAAATATTCTCTCTCTCTCTCTCTCTCTCTCTCTCTCTCTCTCTCTCTCTCTCTCTCTCTCTCTCTCTCTCTCTCTCTCTCTCTCTCTCTCTCTCTCTCTCTCTGACATCCGTGAACATACAATCTTTCACAGATTCTCTAATAATAATACATTACCGTTCTCACATATTCTCTACCACACTGTCACTCTCTTTCTTTCTCTAATTTCCCGCTCTCTCCACACCCCCCCCCCTACCTCTCTCTTCTCTTTATCGCTCCCTATTTCTGTCTCTCTCACCTCTCCTTCCTATATTTATCTAGAAGAAATATGTAGCTACGCACACTGAGATGCTCTGCCAAAAACTTGTTGATACAAAGGAGATAGAATCACCCGTGATAGCAGCTTTCGGTTATCTTCGAGAACCTCCGCATCTTTCCCAAACGGCTTTCTGTGCAAACCAAACAATTCTTAAATACTTATACTGGTATTATTTCTTCTTCTTCTTCTTCTTCTTCTTCTTCTTCTTCTTCTTCTTCTTCTTCTTCTTCTTCTTCTTCTTCTTCTTCTTCTTCTTCTTCTTCTTCTTCTGCTGCTACTACTACTACCTGTACTGCTACAGCTACTGTACATTATTACTTCTACTACTAATTATGCTCCCGCAGAAGCAGCAGCAACATCAATAACTAACTGCTGCTGCTGCTTCTACTCATCATCATCCTGTGGTGTCCCTGACAGTCACACATGGCTGGCTGGCAGTCTGTTCTTCCATTCCGTTCTATTCTGATAAATCTGATCTATATCGTTGTTGGAATCCAGTGTACTGACTGTGTCCTCCCTCAAATGTATCTATGGCCTCG